TAATTTGACAAAACAATATTACAGTTAATGGACACCCCCCCCCCCCCCCAAAAAAAACCCCAGCAGCATTCATGAACATTGTTGCATGCAACTGCTTTAATAAAGTCGGTCACTGGTCCACTGTGAAACTTAGAGGTACAGAGCATGAGACAAAGCTTACAGAAAAATCAACATAATGCTCTACTACATTCAATACACATGGCTTATACTGTATTCCTAAAATGAAACAAAAATAATAAAGTCAAATTGTCATATTACTTTCAAAGCCATTTTGAAATATTTGCATGTGGCCTTTCAATATACACAGTTCCTCTTGTCAATAAAACGAAGCACAATTCAGCAAATCCTACTAATAAAAATATTATTCAACAAGGGTGCATTAAATTTCTCAAAAGTAAATGCATAATGTTAGCAATTATATTTTAAATTAAATGCTGTTCTTTTGATTAGTTTATATTCATCAAATCATGAAAAGTATAATGGTTTCCACTAAAATATTAAGCAGCACTGTTTTTAATGTTGATTTCTTGAGCACCAAATCAGCATATTAGAATGATTTCTGAAGGATCGTGTGACACTGAAGACTGGAGTAATGGCTGATGGAAATTCAGCTTTGCCATCACAGGAATAAATTACATTTTAAAATATATCAAAATAGAAATTAGTTATTTTAAATTGTAATGATCTTTCACAATTTGACAGTTTTGCCTGTATTTTTGATCAAATAAATGCAGCCTTGGTGAGCATTAGAGACATCTTTCAAATCTTACAGACCCTAAACCTTTGAATGGATGTGGATCTCTTTAATCTTTGGAGATGAACACTGGAAAAACTTGGAAATTTGGAAAAGGAATGGTTTATGAATCACTTTCAAGTTGCTGGCTGGACACAGGATCCGTGAGGGGCCTGCTGAGGGTCCATTTGTCATGTCTGTGTGCCGCTGGGTCCTCGGTCTCTGACTCGCTGCTGGAGCTCTCACTACTGCTGCTACTGCTGGGACTGTCACTGCCGCTGAACTCATAGCAGTCTTTCTCCTGCCTGCTTTCCTTCTCTTTCTGTTTGTTTTGCTCCTCCTTCCTCTTTATTTCCACTCTTCCAGGGGTTTCCACTCCACTTGACATGGGCACCACTGACATCTGTCTATCCTGCCAGGTGCTGGGAAAACTGAGGTTTGGGTTTGGTAAGGGAAGGTCTGGACTCTTCATGGAATCTTCCTTTGGCTCAGTCTTGTGCAGTTTATCTAACTTTGAACTCTTAGATTTGGACCGAATAACGAACCAATCCTATGAAAAATAATAACAATGAGAATACTTATTATAAAAAATTTTTTTTTTATGATATATAAAGAGCAGAAAATGAAATAAAATAAACATTTAATGTGTTACCTGAGAATGAATGGAATTAATATGATACTTGACTCCACTTTCGGAGTTGAATTCTTTCTTACATATCAAGCATTTATATTTCCCAGTCTCAAATTCACCCTGCAGAGAAAAAAAAGAGAAGGTTTTCATAACTTTTCATTAAACAAGAAAAATCAATAGAAACCTACTGATTTAGGTACCAATAACAAAGCAATAGTTATTTAGTTATACTGTACAGATGACTATCTTTTCTGGTCAAACTACACTACACCATTCAAAAGTTTGGGGTCAGTATGATTTTCTGAAAGACATTAATGTCTGCAAGGATGCATTAAACTGATCAAAAGTGACAGTTAAGACATTCGTAACCTTACAAAAGGTTTCTATTTCAAATTTATAGTACTCTTTTGACATTTATATTTATTAAGGAACTCTAAAAAAATACAGTTTTCATATTAAGCAGCCAACTTTCAAAGTTTATAATAAAAAAAGGTTTCTTGAGCACCAAATCAGCATATTAGAATGATTTCCAAATATGTGTGACACACTTTCCAGTGTGACACTGAAGACTAGAGTAATGGCTGCTAAAAATTCAGCTTTGCCATGACTGGAATAAATTACTATTTAAAATGTATTTAAAAAGACAACAGTTATTTTAAATTGTAGTAATATTTCATGTTATAGTATATGTTTTTACTGTATTTTGTGTTACATGTCTGAAAGGAAATTTATTCCTTACCAAGGTACATAGCCCAAGGTGAGCCTTTAGGCCAGATACGCTGGTATAGAAGCAGCTACATCCCTAATTTGACAATAAAGATGATCATTACACATTTAGCTCAGTAAACCATTCATTCACTGAAAATCCTTGGTTTTGCATAATGCCACAATCAGTGCAAAACATGCACAAAACACTAATGAATGGCCCTTTAAATTCAAACACAATGGTAAAAACGCCTGGAATAATAACTGTTTATGCATGATATTCACACCTTGTTTGGACACTGCACTTTTTTATGCAGTTTGACTTCATTATTCCACTTCCGTAGAGTCTCCTGACTGAAGGCCGGCAAACCTGGACGAGAATACTTCAGCTAGATAGACACAAAAATACCATAAATGCTTATAAAAATGATCACAAGATTGATTCTTCATTCACAGTTCTCAAACCTTTTAGTGAATCCATGAAAGTGTGTAAAACAAACAAAGCTGATGCTGCCTTACCGAAAAGAGCTTCACACAGGTTCTGACTTCTTCACAGCCCTGCAATTACAACATGTTGGCATAGTTTGACATATACATGTTTTGCAGCACCTTCCTGTCGTCTGGTACCAGGTCACGCTGCACTTTCCTTTTGGGCCATTCCTTCAGCAGCTCCTCACTGGCGATCTCCCTCAGGTGGAACACGGCCACCTGCGCTGACAAGCGCTTGGCCCGACCGCTCTGCGTGCGCTCTGGGATAGGCTCTTTCTGTGTCTTCAGCTCCTCTACTTCACTTTCTTGGGTCGTCTGCAACAACAGATTATTGTGACTGTTCATTCATGAAAACATCAACAGCCTGAATACAGGCTTTTCCGCGGGTCTTAAAAAAAGTCTTAAATTTAGTTGTATCAAATTTAAGGCCTTAAAAAGTCTTAAATTGTACAAGAAAGTCTTAATTAGGATTTCAAGAGGTCTTAAATTTGGGGATGGAAAGACCAGAATTGCGATATGGCTGAATGTGACAATTCAACTTCAAAAGGCTATGATTTCATTGAATAAACACAAGCGCTGCACGTTAAAAGTCCCTTGCTGCACTGCTTTGTGTTCAGCTGTTACCGGGGAAACAGTTATATTTCTACCAAACGCTCCACCTGCTGGCAGAGAATGAATGAGCATTTTCAATAAAACTGTTGTTTTGTTCAGAGTTCAGACCAATGCGAAAATCGACCTATGCAAACACGCAGAGCTTTAAATGTGAACTGGTGGATCGATAAGAAGACAATGCATTATAAAAATCTAAACTGTAGAGGGGTGTGCGATATGTATGGTCTGCGATAATATCGTAATTGTTGTTTTAACGATGTGCAATTTGATATTATGAGTATATCGCGAAAAGCAAACACAAAGCACACCTACAGAGTGCGCGCATACATTAGGTGATGAAGTCTAGTAGGTTAGATTGGTGCGCGTGCTCATTTAGAGTGCGTAAAGTATTTAATGTCCCTCAGAGCTGCATTAAACAGTGTGTAAATGCATCTAAATGACACTTCTAATGCAGCTTCTGTGTTTCCTCTGCATTGCAAAGATCAATTTTGTTGATACTGATTTAATTTGCTTGGTAACAACCTAAATGCAAGAATTTGACTCAAAAGATGTTGCACACTTTTAGAAAAAATGGCTTAAAGGTAAAAATGCCCATAAAGCTTTTAGAATAAATTATTAATTTCTATTACTGCTGTGGACTGACCACACAGAATATGAAGAATATAAAAAAATTCAGGAGTCAGCTGTCCACGGTAGTCCTTAAGATA